ATCATATTTAGAATGAAGTTTTCAGCAAGCTTCAATTTTGACGCAATTTTGTTTCACAACCAGTGTAGCATTTTGCACCTCAAGCCTAGCATCCTCTTTTGATAACAAAACATCTTTAATAACAAATATCAACATAATGACAAAACATGCTTTTAACAGATACAGTACTTTCTGAAAGATGAAGAATCAGTTCAACAATTTTATACGAGTCTAGACACCTATCACACATTTCACATAAAATCTGTACCCATATTACAATGTTTTCTTTATTCAATACATCACACTGCCTCACAATTATTGATATATAATTAATAAGTGAGGATCCACTTATTAAATATACGAATTCTCTCTATTTCAGTGGGAGTGGTTAGTTTATCAGTCAGGCTATTCTCCATTTCTTTCCATTTTGGCATTTTCCTTAGAAGAACCTGCTTGAATTTCTAAGTTTTATTCCTATCTGTTGATGCATTTGCCTTTTTCATACTTTCCTATAGACTATTTTCAGTAAACAAAAACTGTCTTCACCAAACTCATAAAATCTTGGGCTTTATTTTATGGGCTAATCTTTGGAATATGGTAACAGGTAGTTTGGCGACATTTTGGTAAGGCGATAAAGGTTACTAGCTAGGACTTTAGCAGTGTACATGGATAAAGTCAAGAGTGTGCACAATGCCATTTTTGTGCAATTCTGGGATTTTTTTAAAGTGAAAATAGGTCGACGTGTACATGGATACCATGTATGTGCAATTCTTAAAAACGCGGCAAGCAGTGGGGGATTCTGCACTTTCTCCCAATTTCGCACCTAATCTTCATCATGATTAAGCATTTTTGTTCCATAAAAGTTCTAGCATAAGCGTAATTTGGCTAGCAGATTGTTGGGAAAAAAAAAAAAAAAAAAAAAAAAACATGCCTTTACTTCATGAAAACAAAATGCCGTCCAAAAAAAAAAACTAGCAGGTTGCTGTAGCAGGGTTGGTCGAAAAAATTTTCACCAAAAAATCGCCAAGTTACCATAATCCAAAGATTAACCCTTCCATATACTTCTAATTAATTCTTGATAACCCAGTTCAATTTTCTAAAGGATATAAATTAACTATTACATTTTTCTTTCACATTTTCTGATTACTTGAACCTGCATGAAAAGTTAAGACTTCATTTCCTACTTTATGGATCGGCATAAAATGTTTATTTGACTAGCCCAATTAATCACAAATACTGTTCAACTTATAAATATTAATAATAATAAGAGTTTTTATTAAAAAAAGAAATTCATAAGGAAAAAATATTGGCTAATATTCAATGTCAATAAATGTGCACTCAAGTTAATGTGTGGACTGGCTACTATTGTATGTACACTCAAAACTATGCCAAAAACATAACTACTGAATGTTGAAATAGTGGATGTGGGTAATCAAAAAGTATTGGAGCATTTTCAAAGTTACAGGATCCTGGCATAAAAAATATGCATTAATTTATTTGAAAGCTGACACAATAGCAATGAATCAAACCGATATTTATTAAAAATTTTTGGTACTTTTTCGTTTCGCCGGCGCAAATCTCGCCAAGCAGACTTTATTGACGACAACATACAGTATACGCATAAAAAATGTTAGTTCTAGGAATTTTTTATTTTGAAGGCATAAACATTTTAATATCCTTTAAAATTTTCTAAAAAAGCCAATAAATAAAGACAATAAATTTGTAAAAAGACATTAATTTAAGAATTTACTATGCTTTCATGATTCAACATCCTGATTCGCCTGTTCATATCACGTGACCCTAAGTGATCTCATCTCATGCGAATTAAATTTATTAACTACCTTACAAAAATCTAATTCTCTCAGTAATTATCTACATTAATTTCAAGTTAATTTGGAATACAAGTTTAAATGCAAGAATTACTTCAATTCGTACAAATAGCTTACTCAGAAAATTATGTAAAACCGCAGTGCTTTACCTCGCTAGTGCATTCTCAATTAGAATTGATGAATTTAACCCTTGACCTTGTCTTTTCTATATTTTTGCCTCTGGGTGAGCGGTGTGATTGCATCCTAATTGACTTAATTACCGCGAGTGGCCTTAGGGCATAAAATTGAACTATCTGGTAAAAATTCCACGCAATTGTGTGCCAATATTGAAAGAATCAATCAATCTGATAAGAAATGGCTGCGACTTGTTTTGAAAATGAGGCGTTAAAGGTTACCATCGAGGATATTCTGTTTGAAATCAGTTGTACATTATTGGCGACTTTATTGTGTGCGCCGGCAAAACGGAAAAGTACCAAATTTTTATATGCTATATCCGTACATCATTTCTAACTATATAAAGTTTCCTCGGTAAAAAAAACATTTATGGATACCCCTTAATGAACATTGGCAATTTTTGGCAGTACATAGATACTGGGTTTGTGCAATTCCTTGACTTGTTATTTTAGCTTTCTGTAGCGGCGATTTTTGCGCCAAAAATCACTATCCATGTACATATCAACCTATTTTCACTTAAAAAAAATCAGAGAATTGCACAAACTTGGCATTGCACACTCCATTCTCTTTATCCATGTACACATTGACTTATTTTCACTTAAAAAAAATCATAGAATTGCACAAACTTGGCACTGCACACTCGCTTGACTTGTCTATGTACACATCAATCTATTTTCACTTAAAAAGTCAAAGAAGCAGCCAACAAAAGAATACAATCTCAATAAACTACATTTTAAATCAAATAACATTAAAAAGGAAATTTATCTTAGCACTACACAAAGGAAATATCTTCATATCGTATTTAGAAATTTGCCAGTCAAATAAAATTTTTCAACAGCATCCAAAAACTTCTTAAAATTATCTTAACTAGAATCTGTATACTGGCATCGCCACATAAATTTACAAAAAGTCAAAAACATCCGCCATAGTGCTGATATCCATGGACGTTTGACCATACGCATTTCTTTCCTACAAACAGGACGCTTATAATGGCTACTAAGTAAACCTTCATTAACAAACTAGTCAATCAATGCTCTTTTCCCCTTTCGTTCCAAATCATACAAAAACTTCAAATGAATCTTACCACATTCAGCCTTTTTACCATCTAAACCACAAAACAAGCAATATACTTCCTAACCAACACACACCACAAGCCCTTGCAAATCTCGGACCACGTAACCGATTACGTCATAATTGGGTTTCCATAACATTCAACTACTCAGGTTACCATAAATGAAACAACAACTTGGCAATAAGTGAAGCAAAAACTTTGTGATAATACAAGGGGCCCCCTTCAATCTACTCTGTTTCCTCCTCGAAATTTCTACTAGAATGAGTGGCATAAGATTGGAAGGATTTTAACCCAACTTACTAAAGGAAACAAACATTTATTAAACTAACTAAATTTCTACTAGTTCCTGTGTATAATATTCACTTCTAATACTTATTAAATAAACTTCTAATGCTCCCTGTTCATACTACTACTTAACTATTAAACTGCTTATAATATTTACTTATGCTATTTTTGCATCATAAACCTACTACACATTTTGGGATATATGTGCATAATGGAAAAGTACCTTTTGTGCATGTGCCATTAGTAAACTATTCTTATAATCAAATATTTAGCCCGCCAAAATGCATAGCAGGCATATAATTGAAAAGTACCTTACTTCTGAAGCTAAAATATTATTTTTTTCAATTATGGAAACATATATTTAAAGCATAGACATGTGAAGAAACAAATCAAATGACAACCACAATTTCACGCGATGGTCTCCGCATATTTCTAAAACCTAAGAGCATTTTTTCCTGGGGAAAAAAATAAGAACGAAGCCCTCAAACATGTTTAGATTACTGAGAGAGGTCTATCGGTTATGAAGAATTACTTATGATTGACTAGTAGATGGGCATATTTATAGCATCTAAAGTACAGAATCGCTCACATGCGTGCATCGATGTGTACATGGACAAAGTAAAGGGAGTGTGCAATGGCAAGTTTGTGCAACTCTCTGATTTTTTTTTAAAGTGAAAATAAGCCGGCTAGTACAAGGACACCGAGTTTGTGCAATTCCTTGTTATTCTCAAGTTAATGTAGAATCGCCCACTTATACGACACATATCAATGTGTACATGGACAGTCAAGGAAGTGTGCAATGCCAAGTTTGTGCAATTCTCTGATGTTTTTTCAAGTGAAAATAGGTCAATGTGTACGTGGATACCAAGTTTGTGCAATTCTTTGACTTGTTATATTCAAGTCGACGATTTTGAAAAACGCACGAAGCAATGGGTGATTCTGCTCTTCCCCCATTTATATCTTTCATCGGATGTGGAACAAATTGATATAGTTATCAAAAGAATGAGACACCTGGGTAATGTCAGAAAAATGTTTTTTCGTCATATGCTGCCAAGTATTTTAGCAGTAGTATTGTAATAATATGTGTATGTGCGGGTGTCTGTATTCAATTTTTCTTGTTCACACACACAGTCTCCAGATGATACTATCGCTGGGTCACAGCATGTATTTTGCCTCTCTTTCAGTGGGGCCAAAATGCGCAATATGTGCATAATGGTAAAATACCGAGTTCAGTCTCGTTAAACGGTACGTGCTATCAGCCTAATTAATGATAAACTTTCGTTCAGTGTTAAAAATTGGTGTTTAAAAGTTCTTACCGCAAAATTAATTTGGAATAATCTTTTTAAGAGCAAATCAGTTTTATTGGCATAAAACATTATCGTATGAATTATCGTATTGTTGTTTGACTTTTGAATTAGCATTATAGTATATTTTAAAGAAATCTGGAATTTCATAAAAATAAAATTTAGCGAAAGTTTACGACAGCATATTACACAAATTGTTACCGAAATTCATAAGCCACATATTTATCTAATAGTATATTTGCCATCGTACGGAATGGTTCGTTAGTAATCATTTACACCATAATCCAAACGGATAATGTGATTCTAAGTTTATAACTAAGTGGAAAAATATATAATCTGGAACAAATTCTTACTCACTTCAATTTGCCTTGGGAAGCAGGCACTTCGACAAACACCAAAAGGTTGTAAAGAGCAGACAACACACGTTATTACTGTTACATCATAAAATCCTTTCGCGGACAAAAAATGAATATAATTTACAAAAATTAATTTGTAGAAATTTCAGAAAAATTTATAATAAATAGCAATTGATAACTTAATTTCTATTAACATTTTAGTATTCAGATCGGTTTAAATGTATTTTGAATGGTAATTATATAACCAAAATGTACTTTTGGAAAGAATACTAAATATAAGACTAATACTAAGAAATACATCGCACTGTAACTGTAAAGGAAACTATCACTATGGCAACGAATATTTATATTCGCCGCAAAAATTTCTGATGAAGATTTAGAAAGTGTATATCTTGAACATACCTATGTTATAAATTTATATTTTAGTAACCAGTTTTCATGCCACCGATAGCATGGCTTCAAATAGCACAGAGAAATGTTCTGGTTCTGAAATTACCTCGAAAGTGCACCAACTGGTTAATGCTCTTATCGCTTACTGTCGATCCAAAAAAGAAAAAATCACGCAGAAGACAGCCCTTATTGTGGTACTTGAATATTATTGATTATTAAATACTGGAATTTTTCTATTTAGCCTTATATTTATTTCTTTTGATGTTAGTTGTATATTCTTTCCCCATCCTCCTTCATAAAGAAATCCCTTTTAATTTTCATTTTTATTACTTTCAGGTGAAAGTAATTTTATTAAATCCTAAATGGAAGCATATATCGAAAGAAGATATTTCTGATCAAGAGGTTCACTCATTTATAGAGGTATTATAGGATAGAAAGTAAACACATTATGCTTTTTATTGAATTTTTATAAGATTTTTTATTGTGTTTAAAATTTTGTAGAACTTCAAGTTAAGATATAAAATCTGATACTTAAAAGAACATGGGAGCATTATGAAATGTTAACGGTTTTAGATTTCTGTTATACATACTGTTTGGTGTGCTATGCTTTAAAAAATATAAATATGCCTCCTTTCATATATATATATAAAGTTTCTGTGATAAACTCAAAACTTTTAGTTGGATTGGGCTGCATAGGTAAAAGTACATAATTTATTGAGGTATAGAGAATGTATTAATAATTGTAAAATTACTGACTAAATTAAATGTAACATGGCAAAGGGATATTTCAAATAAAATGGTTTTGCCATGTGAAACAAAAAGGAAATGTACATGATTTTTTTAACAGAAATGAGAAATGTGTCTAGTTTAACAAAAGTAAAGGCTGATCTTTGGAATATGGTAACTGGTAGTTTGGTGACATTTTGGAGGCGATAAAGGTTACTACTACCTAGGACTTTGGTAATAATGTGAGAAGTACTCAGTTCCAATTACGCATTATTTTGTGTGAGGGAAATGAGAGATCATGAGATATGTCATGTGACATTAATCGATGAATTACAGTTCTTTAATCGGAAAAGGGGGGGGGGGGAATTTGGAAAACTGTTAGTACTATATTATTTTGTATTAAGCTTCATTGTGTATTGTGTGAAATAGTGGAAGTGCACGTGCCACGTAATGAAGATTGAAGATTAGGTAAGTTAGTATTTTTAATCATTTGAGGATATTATTGTTCTAAATGTAAGGGGTAAATAAATTAATATGATATTATTGGAAAATTGTTATTAGCAATGATTTGGTTTAAAGTAATTAGGATGTAATCTAATTTTTATTAATTTAAATGTATGTGCTTATTTATATTTTAAGTAGTGTTTTTTAATTTAATTATTTTTTATTTAATTATATTTTAATTTAATGATCGTGATTTTTGTAGTTATATGTTTGTAGTATTTTGGAATACGTTTTGAGTAGAATACGTTGAATATTTCATGCATTTTCGTCGTGAAATTTTTCTAATTTATGAGAAAAAGCAGTGTACATGGATATAGTGAAGAGTGTGCAAAATGCCATTTTTTTGTGCAATTTCTGGGATGTTTTTTTTAAGTAAAAATAAGTCGACGTGTACATGGTTTAGTGCTATTTTAATTAAATGATAGTTTATTTTGTGAATTTTATGTTTGTAGGAATTTGGTATACGTTTCAGTTGAAGTAAACGTGCATGGAAATATTTTAATATTTGCATGGAATTAATTTAAATATTTTAAATATTTGACATTAAGTATTTGTAACCATTTGTAATGTTTGCGGTATGAATTCGTGGGTGACGTTTATAGTATAATAGATAATTTAGAGGTAAAAGTTTTTTGGATATTTTATTTATTTTATACGTGGAAATGTTCATCCTTGGAAAGGGTATATACTTTTTCGCGGTCCAGGTAATTTCATATATCTGCTTTTTACCGAGTTTAAAGATTCACAGAATTTTTTTGCATTTTCGTGCAAATTTTTGTAATTTATGAGAAAAAAAAATAGCAGTGTAGATGGATAAGTTAAGAGTGTGTGCAATGCCATTTTTGTGCAATTCTGGGATGTTTTTTTAAGTAAAAATAAGTTGACGTGTAAAATGGTTTATGTGTATGTGCTATTCTGAAAAACGCGTAAGGAGTTTGCGATTGTGCACTTTTTCCCAATTTTGCAGTTAATATTTGTCATGATTAAGCAGTTTTGTTACATAAAATTTCTAGCATAAGTGTAATTCGGCTAGTAGATTGTTGGAAAAAGTGTTCAGTAAATAAAAAGGAAAGAAACATGTCTTTACTTCTTGAAGACAAAATGGCGGCGAAAAAAAATAGAGGGTTGCTATAGAAGAGTTGGTCGCCAAATTTTCGCCAAAAAATGGCCAAGTTACCATAATCCAAAGATCAACCAAAGTGGCATTTATTTTCAATTCCACAAAGGATACACACATATACATAATGATTAAATGTAAAGTAAAATGTTATTCAAAACCCAGTTCAATTATGCACTGATAACTACAACAGCTGGTGGATGTATAGCTGCAACAAACTATGTTTGGTTAGAGTAGAGAGAAGGGTACCCGTTGTGTTATTGCAAAGTTGTTGTTTCATTTATGGTAGCCTGAGTAGTTGAATGTTATGGAAGCCCTATTATGACATAATCGGTTGCATGATTGCAGTAAATTCGTAAGAATTTGTGGTGTGTGTTTGCTTAATTAGGAAATGTATTGCTTGTTTTGTGGTTTAGATGGTAAAATGGCTGAATGTAGTAAGATTAATTTGAAGTTTCTATACGATTTGGAAAGAAAGGAAAAAATAGCATTACTTGATTAGTGTGTGTAAATGAAGGTTTACTTAGTAGCCATTATTAGGTGTTCTGTTTGTAGGATAGAAATCGTATGGTCGAATGTTACTACAGAGGATATTTTTCACTCTTTTTTTGTGAATTTATGTAGTGATGCCAGTATACAGATTCTAGTTCAAATAATTTTAAGAAGTTTTTGGATGCAGTTAAGGAATTTTGTTTGACTTAAATCCTCAATATTTGAGAAATTACTTTAGAAGATATTTTACTTTGTGATTATTTGTGAATGTTTCTTGTTAATTAATTTGAAAAAAAAAAAAAAGTAATCAGACATGAATTAAAAGCTATTGGTAAGCATTTTGAGAAATTTGGTTAAAAACAACAACATGCCTAATTGACAAATTGATACTTTCTGCACTCCTCTGAAAGTCATTCCCAAAGCAATGCACTATGTTACCAAAATAGGCAGCCCATGATATCACCAAAATGTATTTATATGGGAACCCAAATATGCATGTGCACACAACAGGTGAGAGCTTATTTCTGCCTTCAAATCTGATGGTCATTTTTCTGATCAACGTTTGTTTTTCTTACATTTGTGTGCATGTTTCTTTTCTTGTACGGAATCATGATCAAACTGTATAGTTTGATAGCTGAAAGCATTACATTTTATTAGAAGTAGGCCATTTTGTCCAACAACAAAGAATACAATAATTTGCATTTCGTGACACTGCATTTCATAAAATGATTGAATTTTATAGATCGAAATTTGTGCAATCCTTTCATGTTTTCTTAGATGAAAATATTTTGCTAGGTACATTGGGGAAATGATAGCGTGCACAGTGCCAAGTTTTGCACAATGGCGAGTTCTTGGAATTCTCTGCATGTTTTGAAGCTAAAACAGATTTATGAGCTACCAAGATTTGCAACTAAATAAATATAGTATTCACCAGCTTTTGCTGAACCATGTCGCTCAAGAATTTGTAGAACCTCTATGAAAACTATTTAGAAGAGATAAATGGAAATGCATTGTGTCCCATGATAAAGCTTAGGTTTACCTAAATGACTGAAAACAAAAAAGGTATATTTATTACAGAAAATAAAGAGAAAAAATGTACAAACCTGTTCAGTAAATACAAAGAATGTTTCAATAAAGGGTTTATGATTGTTGCAGAATTCTCTTACATTGGGAAATTAAAAATAAGAAGTGTGGAAAAAAACATTAAAATCAACCGAATGTATTATCAAAAGAAAATTTTATATCCAATATTTACAGAAGATATTCCATTTCTTCATCTCAATTACTTTCAAAGAGTACAACTCCATCAAGACAAGCAAGGGCTAATCTTTAGAATATGGTAACAGGTAGTTTGTCGACATTTTGGTAAGGCGATAAAGGTTACTAGCTAGCACTTTAGCAATAATCTGAGAAGTACACAGTTCGAATCACAGATTATTTGGTCTCGGAGAAATGAGAGATCTTGAGACATGTTGTGTGTGACATTTTCCGGAAAATTTCGATCGTGATTTTAGCTAATAAGCACTTAGAAACAATTTCACTGCTAAAGTGCAGAATCACCCACTTATTTGTTTGGTGCATTTTACAAGAGTAAGAAGAATTGGATTTTTGTCAATTTTCTTTGACTTTTTAAGTGAAAATAGGTTGATGTGTACATAGATAAAGTCAAGAGTGTGCGCAATGCCATTTTTGTGCAATTCTGGGATTTTTTTTTAAGTGAAAATAGGTCAACGTGTACATGGATACCGTGTACAGTCAAAAGTCTTTAATCCGGACTCGTCGGGACTTCGGAGATTCCGGATTATCGATTTTTCCGGATTATAGATCATCATTTTAAATCTGGTAAGATGGCATGCAGAAATTATAAAAT